GAAGAAAGGAACGAAAGAAGGAAAGGAGAAGCGGCGCCAGCAGCTTCATCTCCGTCGCGTTGCCACCACCCACTTGTCCCCTCCCGATCTCGCCGTTCCTCTCAACTTCTCACCCTTCATACGTCTTGGGAAGGTAAGGATACTCATTTCTTGTCGTTCTAACGCTCGTTTAACCGCTAGTAGTAACTTTAGATTGTTAAATCTTGAAGTTGGAGGTGATTAAGGATCTTTTGAGGAGTTGGGCGAGTTGATTCAAAGAGCCTTCATTCTAATCGATTCATTGGGGTCTAGGCACGCTTTGAAGGTAAGGAAACACAGTCCCCTTCGAATTAGTATGGGTTTCGTATGAGTTTTCGTGTATTTTCAAGTCAGGGGATTTAGTGACGGATTTTCTGGGCTTTTCGTGACGGACAGTGGTGGTCGCTAAAACATCAAAAATTCCAGAATAACATTTTAAGCAATTTTTATTTTTTCGGCACCCTTATAGGATTGTTAAAATTGGTTTAATAATGTTAGAAATTCTAAGAAGGTCGCTTGAGGACCGGGAATTAATTTTGTGATTTTTAAGGGCTAATTACTATTTATTTCATATATTCAGTTAGGCGCGTATATTTATGAAATAAAACGTTATGAGGAAATTTTTTTTGGAAAATTGGGTAATTTTTTCTATGGATTAGTACTTCTAGAATATTAGGAAAAATTGTTAATTGGAACTTTCAAGGGGATTGACTTATTCTAAAAATTACCGGTAGGCGGGAATATGTAGGGAAAAGGGTTATTTCTAAAAGAGTGATGTGGTATATAGGGTATCGAGATAGTACACTGAGGAAGGAGGTCTTCAGGCTAAGGGTCGGAGAATCATCTTGTCGAGGTGAGTGTAAAGGGGGTAAAATCTCCGTCGAGGTCTTTTAGTTTATGCCTTTTTAATTCAGTTATGTTATTTAATTTTCAAGTAAGCGCGATTATGTGTGTGAGGCATCCCACCGCCTATAAGGGTGGAGGCACGCGTTGTGCTATGTATGGATGTATGTGATGTTGTATGGATTGATGGTATGAGGAACCCCCGGGCGGTTGGGCCACTACTGGACGCGGTAGATGGTCAGGTCACTGCTGGACGGCGAGACGTAACGCAGCAGTTGATCGAGTATGTTGTGGTCACTACTGGACGGCGAGACGTAACGCAGTAGTTGACGGGCATGGACTGGACGGCGAGACGTAACGCAGTTCCATTGCCGAGTATGGGTATGCAACCGGACGGCGAGACGTAACGCGGTTGGCATACTAGGGTAGGACACCGGACGGCGAGACGTAACGCGGTGGTCCTAGGGTTTTGTGTTTGAGTTAAGGATAGAAGTTGAGAACTTCTATGAGTTAATGTTGAAATGAGTTATTAAGGATGAAAGCGAGAACGGGTTTCATCTAAAGGAAGGAAAAGCTAATAACGTGTTTGAGTAAGGATGATTATTTAAAGAGCAGAAGGCGAGAATGACTTTCATGCTAGGAAGGCATTCCCCTAATAATGTGTTTAGTAAGGAGATTGCCTAGGGCAAAGACCTTAGGAAGTAACGACGAGACTGACCCCTTCTCACTCACCAGGTGTGGAAAGGGGAAGAGGACGTAACCAGCACGAGGAGGTTAATCGGGAAGATCAGCCGCGACAAGCTTGAAGATGTCGGAAGGATCAGGGTAACGTGATGGGGCTATCCATCTTAACTATCCTTATTCATGACTTTATGAGTATACTGGGAAACTCGAGATTTTGTTTTGGATTGTAATTGCCCAAGTACTTAGGGTCTTTCATTTGAAATTCTTGGTTATTGTAAGTTTGATTTTCAAATTGTGGTTCGGGTTGCTCCGGAGTAACCAGTTTTTGGTTTTTGAGTTCTGGTTTTGGTTTCAAAAGGGTCGGGATATTTCAGATTCCCAATGGGTCTTTAAGGTTAAATACCGTCCTTACGGTTCTGTTGAGCACTACTAGGCCCGTCTTGTTACTAGGGCTACACTCAAATCGAGGGAGTGGACTTTCATGATACTTTTGCTCCGGTTTCTAAACTGGTTACAATTCGTTGTCAACTAGCGGTTGCTACCAGCTCGATGTCAACAACGCTTTTCTACATGGCAACTTATCTAAATAATTTATATGAAGGTCCCACCGGATTTTGGTGCGGATGGTGATTCTCGAGTTTGCAGACTTCACAAGTCCATCTATGGCTTGCGTCAAGCATCTCGCAATTGGTATAAAAAATTCACCACTTCACTCGGCGATCTTGCCTTTCTTGCATCTCCGGCTGATCACTCCCTTTTCATCTACAAAAGGGGAGATGTTTTTGTCACTACCCTGGTATACGTCGATGGCGTGATCCTTGCTGACAATAATATGGATATCATTAGTCATGTTAAGCAGTTTCTTGATCAGAAGATCAATATTAAGGAGCTTAGTGTTCTGCGTTACTTCTTGGGTCTCGAGGTGGCTCGATATTCTAGTGGTATCATCATCAATCAATGGAAGTATATTTTAGACATCCTTGTCGAGGCTGAGGTTCTTGGTTCACGGTCTAGTGCTTTCCCGGTGGAGCAGAATCATCATCTCACCAAGCCCTCGTCTGACGTTCTCGTTGATGGCTCATCTTATCGGCGACTGATTGGGCGACTTCTGTATCTCATGATTTCTCGTCCGGATATCACATAGGGGGTAAATATCCTTAGCCGGTTTGTTCATGCTCCTACACAGGCGCACATGGATGTGGGGATGCGTATATTGCAATATTTAAAGACTTCTCCTGGTCAGGGTATGTATTTCCCTGCGGGTAATTCACTTGAGCTCGTTGCTCATTGTGATGCGGATTGGGGTAGTTGTCAGTCAACTCGTCGCTCCACTACTTGTTTCTCATTTTCCTTGGCTCTACTCCTATCTCCTGGCATACCGAGCGGCAAAAGGCGGTGACGCGTTCTTCTGCAGAGGCTGAGTATCGTGCCATGGCCAATACTGTTAGTGAGCTTCTTTGGTTACGTTGGTTATTGCATGAATTATCTGTTCCATAGCTTCGTCCTACACCTCTTCATTGCGATAACCAAGCTCCGTTTCACATTGCTATAAATCCCATCTTCCACGAGCGGACCAAGCACGTTGAAATGGATTGCTATTTTGTGCGAGAGAGGGTTGTTCCTGATGATATTCTACCTCTCAAAGTCAGTTCTCACCAAGGGGTTAGGCGCTGATCAATTTCTTTTTCTTATGTCCGAGCTGAACGTTCGTGATCACTGCTCAGCTTGTGAGGGCGTGTTGGATCGTGACCAGCATCAGCCCAAGGAACTCAAGCCCACTTGTGCTCACGTGGGAAGTTCACTTCCTTGGGAGACAAGGATAATTAATACTTGTTTCTTTTGTGCTAACCCTAGTGAAAACCGAGTAGGAGACTCTATATATAAAGTTGTTGTAGGCCATTCAAACATGTACTCAATCACATAATAATATCAGCTGCAGCCGGAGAGGTTCATCTCTCACGTGAATTAGTCCTGATTAACCGTCAGGAATGCCACGTAGATATAGTGTCTTGTGCTTTCTCGTATTTGTTTGTTACGATTTATTATAACATGTAGGCTTTGAACCGTATTGTACCGATCTACTATACTAACTTTTTTCCATGTGTAAACGACACCAACCTGAGTGAGCACTTCTACTATGCTATATAGTATTAGTGCTTTAATGTACAGCTTGAAGTTGTACCATAACATTAAATGTATAAGTTTAGATTGTACCATAAAAGTGTTTGTATCATTATGTTATGGAGGGTTGCTAATTGTCGCCCTAGTTTATATAATCGCCCTAACTTATAAATTATTATTACCTATTTGTCCTTCTTTTTTATGGTTAAAAATATAAAAAATAATCTTTATCATAACAAACACAATTCATCTACCACCGTCGGCCGTGACTCTGCCGGCCGCCACCATGTTAAACGAATGAAGGGTAACTAGACCGGGAACAATGTAATCGTGGCTGGCGGCTTCCACCATCGCATCATCAGGCAGCCCATTTCCTATTGGATTAGGATGCTACACAAATAATAAAATCAAACCCAATAATGAAAGAAGCATTGAAGTTGACGGGGCAATGGAGGGAGCTTCTTTCAATTGTAGTGTTCCTTTAGGATGGAAATGACATAATTAGAGTGAAGGGTTGTGGGACATGAGGAAAACAGGGGAGTAATGGATTCTGGGAATAAGCTTACCCGCCAAGTTCTTCTTTCTGCGCCTTGGTGGATTGTGCCACTAGGAATCGGAAGAAGGGTGTAGACAGGAGAAGGAACGACGGCGGCGGTCGGTGGCAGAGGTGTTCAGAGATGAGGAGGTTGGCACTGTTCGGAGAGGAAATTAGGGATTTTAGAGTTTATTGTTTCGTTGAATTTTGTTTGGTAATGAAGGGTAATATAGTAATTTTATATTATAGGTTAGGGCGATAGTAGTAAAACAAGGGCGACATTTAGCCATCCAGTTATGTTATGGTACAATTTTACAACTTGAAGTTGTACCATCACATAAGGTACAAGTTTAAATTGTACCATAAAAGAATTTGTACAAAAAGTATAGGTACAATATGAAGTTGTACCATAACGTTAAATGTACAATTTCAAGTTGTACCATAAAGCCAAAAACTATAGCACCAATGCTATTGCTATATAGCATTGTAAAATTCCTCCAACCCGAGTACCTGACTCGCAAAAAACGGCTTTTGTGATTCGGACGCCAATACGAATCACACTTTTTTCTTTCTTCTTTTTCTTGTGATTCGGACACCAACCATACCAACTCGACTTGCGGGGGCGAGAATGCGTCCATAAACCATGCTCCCTAGACATTGTCACATTGGCAACCACTAGGAGTCTCACTTGATCTCATTCGTTCATCGTGAATGGAACATCCACTTGGTCGGTTGTGGCTATCTAGCAAAATCGAAGAGACATCGGCTATTTTGAGAACTCATATGTCACCTAATGCTAGGGGATTCAATAACATGAGGCAAAAAAAGGGAACCAGAAAACACAAGCCCCTTAGAGGTATTCATATACATAAACAAAAATCATAAGCGAACGGAGAAGATAGATAGACTGATGGTAGAAGTAGAACATCAATACATTTTGCCTTTTCACTTCCATATACAAACAGGACAACAAAAAGCTCTATAAACAAACCTCTAGTCTTTCTCCAGTTTCATCAAGCATTCCTCAATCTTGCCGCAAAGCCTGGTCATGTTACCAAGCACGCTACGCTGTTGAGCCCGTGATGTCAACAACTCAGGAGCCACTGGAGCACTCAGCAACTGTTGGAGTTCGCTGCAGAACGTAGCGGCCTCGTGGTCGCCAGAGCAGGCTTCAGCAACAAGTTGAAGCAGCTTAAAGCCCTGTTGCTCAGACAATGAAGGCTGTGGAGCAGGAGCAGCAGCCGGGGGAGCGAGGAAGGGGTGTTTTAGTAGCTGAGGGATCCTCCACCTTTTGTGTTGATCCCAAGTGAGACACTTCTTCATGAGGTCAAGTAGCCAAGGATTGGAGACGGGTTCATAAGTTATCTCATGATTCGGGTCAGTTATGACTTTCAATTTCGACCAGAAGGCTTTGTACTGGGAAAAGGGCGTTCTCCCGTATACCATTTGGTACAGTATGCAGCCGAGGGACCAAATGTCTGATGATCGGCCGCATTTTATGACGTTTCCATTCGCGTCTAACTCGTTGCACAGGAATGCCTCGGGGGACATGTAGCTAAGAGTACCAACCTGCAGAAAATTGACGAGGAAATCAATCACATGCAGTTCCAAAACAACCAACAGCTCTTCACACTGGTTGCCAATATTACAGTTTCTAGGAAGTAGTCTGTCTACTTAAGTAGTACCAGAAACGGGATACAGAATGGACAGCTTCAGCAAGATAAAACATAGTTCTTAAATTAATCTTCACAGCAAAGGGCTTCTCCGAGGGGAAGTGATCACAAAGGGGGATTTCTAATTCATTAGTGTCTTTTCTTCGTACGTACGTTAGAAAACTTTAAAAAATGTTCCTTATATTTTTAAGCAAAAGCTGATAAATACTCTTTTCTTGATAAAAGTAATATCGTTACATCAACAAAATCACTTGGAAAAATCTTCAAGTGCTAAATCTACTTTGGTAGTTCATTATCAGGCCAGTAGAATATAGATAAAGGAAACCCTCCCTGATCCCAATTCTTAAACCACGCATGAAGAAACTATTGAATCTTAGGATTGAAAGTTGAGACACTCATCAAGTCTGCCAGACTCACTATTAATAGTTATTCCCTTATCCTTTCATAGGGGTGTTCAAACGGTGTGGTTACCATGGTAACCGTTTTAACCAGTACTATTTGGATAATTTGGTTTGGTTAATTTGGATATTTGGTTTGGTTTGGTTAAAGTTTTTACCTTGTTTGGTTTGGTTTCAGACACTCCTAACCAGCCAAACCAAATTAACCAGATAAATAATTAGTCATATATCTAATATATACACATACTTAATAATTTGAATAACCACTCAAGAGTTAAACGTTCATTATTTTAGCCTTATTTGGTTTGGTAACAACCATGGTAACCATTTGAACACCCCTAGACCTTTCATATGGTCGAGAACACATACATAGTATGCTTTTCAAGTAGTAGACAGAATGGAACGGGATATGTTGGATGAAAATAATAGGTGCATTATTAGTTCAGGGATATTCAATTTAATGTTCCAAATGTTAGAGGCTCACTAATGTTTCGATTGTTAGATAACCCTAATACCCAATATCTTGCAATGTTTGCCAGAACAATTTGTAGAAACCAGGGTTCTAGCAAAACATTTACCTGTGAGTCCCTCACGATGTTGGTTGTATCACTCATGATTGCTTTGGCAATGCCAAAATCAATCAACTTTAGAGAACCTTTAACAAGAAGGAAATTGGCTGGCTTCAGGTCAGAATGCACTATGCGCTCGTCATGGATGGTCTTAACAGCAAGAAGTATTTGCTGCAGGACATTTAAGGAAAACAAGAAGTAGAAAATCTTAGTCACCATGATGAAGAAAGACTGGATAGTGCACTCTAAGATGGGTAGCTAAGAGAACAAACATCATCCCATATTAGATGACAACGATCCAGTCAAAACCAACAATGATCTATAACAGTTGAGATATTAACCCATGGTCATTATTAAACTAGTTACAAGGAGAATGAAACACAGGGTCACGAGCATTGTGAAGTTGGAACACCACAAAAAAAAAGTATATGATTAGCAGCGGTAAAATGCAACTCGTGTACCTGCCAGTAAAATCTAAGCCAATTATGATCTATAGTCTGACTTGAGTCATCCATTTCCTTCCATTTCTGGGACAGCATGTGAGCCAAATCAATTTCTCCATACTCAAGAACCATATATATACATGCATCATCCTTGACTTTGCCATCCTTGTTACTGATGGAGCCATTGATCACATCTTGTAGCAATTTCTTATCTGTCACCTATTCCAGAAATGAGTATTAGCCATGCCAAAATACAAAACACTGAAGCGAGAAGAAATTATGCGCCCTAGCCTGAAAATAGGATTATAGAGAATAAAATCAGCAAGCATAAGACTGACCAGTTCTACCATCCTTAAATTTACTTTTTGTTTACAATGCTAGTGATTTGCATAAACCAAGCAGATCTCAATAATACTACTAGATCAGAGAGATATAAGCCAATATGAATTTTAGACTGAAAGGTAAGGAGGAACAAAGTGCCTTAGCAGGCCTGAAGTTCTTAAATGAACTAGAAGAATGGACAAGATTTTACCTTACACATTGAGCCCCAAACATCTCGTACAAATTATATAACCGAACTCTTAAGCTTCAAGGCACATACGGACATACCTCATAGTTTATCAGCTGTATGATGTTGTTCTTTCCCTTTAGTCTGTTTAGATACTCAATTTCCTGACAAAACCCGTATGCTGTTGCATAATCACGTCCTCTCAGTTTGATTTTCTTGAGTGCATAGATTGTACAATCAGCAGAAATTACTTTGTGAACCTCACTGCTTCCACCACTACCAATCTTACCAAGTTTCTGATAGCGCGTACCATTAACTACAAAAAATGCATCAGGGTCACTATTTCTCTTACGAGGACCTGATGTGCCAGTGCGGCTAGTAACCTTTTCTTGATTTCCATTTTTCTCCAACTTTACATCTAATGAGGGGTTCACAGAAACCTGGCTCTCAAAGTGCACATTAGCAACAGAACCAGATGGTTGTCCCTCCTTATTCCCCTTTTCGTCAACATGAAAAGGATTACCCAGAACCACACTTTCCTTTTGGGCCTTCTGTTGATCCCGAAGCCGCTGATGTTCCTCAACTTTTGCGTCCATTACACAGCTAGAAGATTGGATAGAAATGGCTGCATTGTCAATTAACATCCTACTTGTGCCCTTCACCAAGGAATTTGAAGAATCCTCCAAATTTCCTTCAGCTGCACGCTGAGAACTCATATGACCTTCTCTCGGGGGTTCAATTGCCGCATGAGAACCACAATCGAGAAGTGGCTGTGAACTGTAGGTTGTGGAATTTAGCATTGGTGCGGAAGTAGAATGCACAGATGTTGTGGTGGCACATGTTGTACCTACAACTGAAGATTGAGTGGCCGGTTGACTTAAAAAGTTTCTCCATTGAGGCAATTGATCCTTGATAGCAATTGCTCCGTTTGATGAAAACGAGAAGGCAGCATCAGACTTGCCACTGGCATCATAATCCAGGTTCTGAAAGTTGAGATGCTTGGGTTCATCATGGATAACATTTAATACTTCAACTCGATTGCATACATCCCACTCCATTTCTGTCAATGCAAGTGAATTCAAGTGAGAAGACAAGTTGTCCAATACATTGGCCACTTGATCATCTGGCCCTGCATTTTGTTTTGTCAGGCAGAAGTGTAGAAATGCAATAGAAAGGAAACTAATCATTCTAAAATTACTTCATGAGCACATACAACTGAGAAAGTTAGTCAAATGCAAAACGGAACTATGTTAATATCTTCCTATCCGGCCGAAAGATTTCAAAGGAAGAGTACATTACCCTGGGTAGTACCGGTCTTAGTTACACCGAATTGTTCGCTTCTTTTCGTAACATCATGTTTAGGCTCCACATGAGATGCTGACAGGGGCATCGAGCAATAGTCCTTAAAATGAACTGCACGTTTTGGCTGTTCTCTCTGTGCCTCGAGTGACTTGAAATTATGATCATAAGGTTTACATATGGTTTCTGAAATGGAAGGAGGTGTAACTGATAAATCTTCCTGCATATCTCGAACACTCGCATCTGGGTTCTTCATTGCAGTTTGATCCTGACTCAAGGAAGTGACATCATGCGAGCCGGTGTTGATCGTGGGCATCACATTGGCAGATGAATTTCTAATTGCCTGTCGTTGGGGCATGCGTCGGGGCCTGATACCATCTGCCTGCATTATACCTACAATAGGGATATGGGAAGCCATTACAAAAAAAAAAAAGAAGTTACAGCTGATATTTCCTGCCGATTCACTCACTAACCCCCAGCAGAGAACCCTTGGATTCATTTGCTTCAGCATAAAATCCAATTATATAGACCAATTGCAAGTTATGAGTGATCCTAAACCCTAGGTTTCAGCCATTAATAGGAAGAGACAAATTTGGGGAGGAAAGGCAATAGAGCGCGAGGGAATCACATAAAGAGCATATTTGCAGAGGGCGGTAGCTAGACGTAGAGAGGAAACTCGTACCAAGGGAGCGGTGGCGCTTGAAAGCAGCTTGAACATGCCGGAAAAGTGACGGCTCGGCGGAGGAGGAGGAGGAGGAAGAAGAAGAAGATGTGGTTTCCAGGTTGGTAATTGGGCCGCGGATGGGATTCCTAGCGGCCACAGGGGCGGGCGGTACCGGAAGGTCAGTGTCCCGGTCCATTTTCCGATCCGAACGGCATTTCCTTCCGGCGACGGGAATTTGGGCAACTATAGAAGACGGGTGAAGCGAATCAGTCGGAATTGCCACAGCCCATTCTCATCGGATGTGAACAACTCAGGGCCGAGAAGCGACTGACACAGAGAGAGCAATTGATGTTCTCCTTGCGGTCGCAGAGAGCGTCGACGACAGCTGCTGAGACGATGGCAGGTGACAGTCTACAGACGGTGGGTCAGGCACAGATGGGGGAGTGGGGGCGAAGTTGAAGCTTTTGAATTTGCTCCATTGGCGCTCGGTCAGGGAATCCTTATTGGGCCGTCATCGTCGGGCTTTCCCGAACCAATGTAACGCTTTCCAGCCCAAGCCTCAATGCGAAGCTAAGGCCATTTATGGGCTTGTCAAATTAAATTACGGGCAATCCTATGGTGCCACTATTAAAAATGTGGCACCGGTGCTGATGCTTTTAATGGGTCCACGTGGTTGTCATATGGTAGTGGTTGAGTGAGTTTATTAAATTCCAGCCCAAATTTTGAAAAAATCCCAAGTTACACATGTTTAAGAAAAAAAAGGCTAAATTGCAAGTTTGGTCACTCGAATTGCTACAAAATTTCACGTTTGGTCACTCGAATTCGTTTATTTCATTCGTAGTCACTTAAATTAGTTGAACAGTCCAAGTTCGGTCACTCTCCGTTAACCTCCGTCAGACTCCGTTAGTGCCGTCAGTTAACTTTTGACGTGGCTAACAGAAATGCCTAGTCACCCAATTTTAACCCAAGAAAAAACAAAAATTGACCCTCCACGTCAGAAAAACATGTCACCTCATATAAACACAACCCAACCCACCCAACCTAAATTAAACCATTAACCCACCCAAAAATCGAACTCGTAACCCATCCACCATTCTTCTTCCTCTATACCCTGCTTCTGCCGCCGCCGGGGAGATTTCCCCTCGATCTCCCTGCTGCAGCCCCCGCCGCCGGATCCAGATTGAGATTACTAATGAACTTCTCCGCCTGGACAGACGGGAAATTGGACTCGGCCATGGACGCGAAGTCGATCGCAGCCCCGGACAAGGCGACCATCGACAGAACGAGGAACGCTCTCAGCGGAAACGATGTAGCTTTCGTCATTTCTAATTTCTCCTGTGATTTTTTTTATGTCGATAGCAAGGTAAGCAGCAGGACCTTAACGAAGAAAGAAGAGAAGGGAGAGTTCATTTACTTCTTATAAGAGTAGTGGGGAATCGCGACGATGAGAGTGAGAGAGATGGGATAAGATAGAGTGACGGGCAGTTGTTGGCGGGGATATTTTTATAGGGCGGACGTGGAGAGGTGGGATCCAGATTTCCGGGTCGAAGTCGAAGGCGTTGTAGGTCGCGGAGGCGAACTCGCCGTATTTGAGGATCTCGCAGCGGAGGGTTGGGTCGATTGGGTCGAGGAGGCCGTCCCAATCGTCGATTTCGTGGAGCTCGCGCCACCGCCCGGAGATGTCCCGCTTGGGGGACAGTGTGGGAGTCATGTGGTCGCCCCAATCGATGAAATCGAAGGCCGTGTAGGGAACCTCGAGGAGTCGTGCCAGTGATTTGTGCGGGCGGCTGCTGTTCCTCTTGGCGCGACGGTTTGGGGATTATTGGATCCGTTGGCAGGGGCTGCAGCAGGGAGATCGAGGGGAAATCCCCCTAGCGGCGGCGAAAGCAGGTATAGAGGAAGAAGAAAGGTGAATGGGTCACGGGTTCGATTTCTGGGTGGGTTAATGGTTTTTTAGGTTGGGTAGGTTGGGTTGTGTTTATATGAGGTGGCATGTTTTTCAGACGTGGCGGGTCAATTTTTGTTTTTTCTTGGGTTAAAATTGGGTGACTAGGCATCTCTGTTAGCCACGTCAGCAGTTAACTGATGGCACTAACGGAGTCTGACGGAGGTTAACGGAGAGTGACCAAATTTGGACTGTTCAACTAATTTAAGTGACTACGAATGGAATAAACGAATTCGAGTGACCAAACGTGAAATTTTGTAGCAATTCGAGTGACCAAACTTGCAATTTAGCCAAAAAAAAAAAATCAAAATACACATACTAGGCCTTCACCGCGGCTAGACCTGGCAAATGAGGACCCGACCCGTTGATCCAACCCGAACCCGCTCGAAAAAAAGAGAATGGGTTGAGGTTTTTATAAACCGAAACCCGAATGACCCGAACCCGGCTAACCCGTAGTTATTGGGTTGGGTTGGTTTGTGGGTCGACCCGCTAGACCCGTTTCATTGCATATGTCACTCTCAAAATGATAAAATCACTCATACTTTGGTGAGATGTTTAAAGAAAAATATTAGGATTTGAAAGACAAGTTTGGAGTGTTAAGATAATCAAACATCATTTGTTTATTGTAGTAGTATTACTTCCGTCATTGTTTTTTGACAATTTGTGCAATTTTTATTTCTTTTCATTAGCATGGAAGGAGTTGAGCATTTGTTAATTGACATGTGCTAGGTAAACTATTATCGCACAGACGTAAAAATTTGTGTTCTTTAAAAATTTATGAAGCATGTTTGATATTGTTTCTGAGAACGCTCATAACCCGAAATGACCCAATCCGAAACCCAATGGGTTGGGTCAATATTTGACCCGAAATCAGCAAACCCATAATGACCTGACCCGTGAAGACCCGTAACTCGAGATTTCCAACCCGAAATTACCCAACCCGACCCGATTGTTAGGTCTAACCGCGGCAGAGCAAGGCGGTGATTGCATCACCGCATGAAAGAAGAGCGGTGATTGCATCACCGCATGAGAGGAGGGCGGTGATTGCATCACCGCTGTAGAGGAAGGCGGTGAATGCTTCACCGCATTACACCGCCGTGATGAAGGCCTGACCTGCGTCGAAACTTTAAACAAACATAACTTTGTGCTCGGTTATCCGATCGTAACGAAAAATTTTTTGATTCCGCATAATTTTTCGAGATCTTGCAAGCCGCAAATTTTATACTTCGATTAACCGTCATAACCGACTCATTTAAGTATCATCGTTCCGCACGGCCCCGTCCCCCCCCCCCCCCCCCCAAAACGACGTCGTTCCTCCGCTTTCCGCCTCCTCCAAAACGACCAATTCCGAATGTTGTTTTTCGGTTATCCCAGTTAACTAAACAACTATCCGATAACCGACCGATTGATTGTCGGTAAACTGAGGTATTTAGTCGGTCGGTGTTCGATAGGAGGGGCCGGCAGTTCGGTTAACTGATAATCAATCATTCGGTTACCAATTATAACTGAAACTAACCAAGTTCCACCCCTATCCAACAGGAAAGAGTGTTGTTTCCTATCGAGGTTATATGGTAACGTTTTTTCAATAACTCGAGGTATATTACATAGCGTAGCATGAACATTGTGCTAGCATGACATATTAGTGGTTTAACTCTACTTACGGACCCTCACCTCTGTGGCCAACCATCTGTATATTCTCTATTCACTCGCACTCCCTATAACCAATATCCAACATGTGTTACTCTCAGAAGTCAGAACAATAGACAAACTCAAGCCTGCTGGCAACTGCAAATGTAGATACAAAGAAAAGACCTCGATAGGAAACAACACTCTTTCCAACCAGCAGTCCAATTGACTTCCATCCATGAAATCCTATGTTACCAAAATTGGATTCCTTCATCCTCCGTCCACAACCGAGAAAGGTGACTGTACATGCAAGAGAGTCGACCGGTGAAGAAGGTTTTCCTCGCTGTCATCTTGTCGACTTGTCCTGAGAAGCTAGTAAATCTGAGCCTTGATGGTTCGATAATCTGTGAGAAGAATTCTGGGCCTGGAGGCAACTGCATTCTGGCAATGGGTACATGTAGATGGAAGTTTTTCTGTTGATCTTTTTCACTCTAGGGACCATCAATCCCTTGCGATCACTCTCCGCCAGCATTACTTGCATCTCATCCTTGAACCCCTTCCAGCTGCAAATTTCAATTCAAGCATATACATGTACAGAGTATCAAGCCATCATTAACAGCATCGCACTGTGCAGTTCCACAGAGCTGCTTTCCATGCTCTCCGACATCAATAAGTAACATGGAGAGTGGAGTGTACCTGATTGTCTTCTCCTGAAGCAAAACAACAAGCTTGCGTTTATCAGGTTTGATAGTCTTGGCATGTCCATTGAAGAGAAATCTTCTATGGCCCATCAAAAAATGAGGGAAGTTTCCACCCTGAGTTGTAACGAAAACCTCACTATACAGGCACACAGTGTAGTCCAAAGCTGCCAATCTTGACGAATAGCCCTGCCAGCAAAAAAAGAAAGAAGTCAAACTGAGCTAGTATTTGAAAACTAGAGGAATAGTTTTAGTTCGTTGGGGCAAGGGTTTAACTGCAGATGTCAGTAGCCTAACAAACTTAAGTGCAGTAATGTTATTAGGAGTCCAAAATCTGTAAGCACAGAAGAAAAGTGAATGCCAGCTGAATACCTAAGTAGATAACAATGGAATATGACGAGGTTGGTACATGTGCAGCAATACACTTTCTTTGGTCACAAGTTTCTAATGATTTCCCAAAGAGAGTTTTTCAGACTTCCATTATTAAGTTTAACATTGGTTGTCCAGAAGGCCAATGTGCAAAATTGTTACAGTGCATATTATACAGGAAACTTCAATATCACAAACTCTCACACCAAGTTTACAAATAGATTGCAGAAAGGAGAAGCTTGATCTTTTTACCTTGAACGGTGCAAGCTCCTCTGCTGTTGCAAGAGTTTCCTTGAAATAAAGAAGGGGAAACATTTTCAACAACGGTTTCAAATGTCTTTCTGCTTGGTAAATCTTGCCTGATGCTATGTATATAGAGGTTGAGTTATCAAATCCCATACCACGCAGCAACAAACCTACCTATGCTGACAAAAAAAACATCACAAGAATATGAGTCATTCACCTTGCCAGTATTCATGATGGAATCAAATGAATTACTGCAAATCTACAAATTAGCCTAGGCAGCAAGCTAATAGAGCATGCAGTGGGATTTAAATTGTCACAAGGATCCTGTTAATAAAACCTGAAAAGGGAATATGTTCATAATGAGCATTTTCAAAGCTGAAGCCAAACACAACAAATGCAGCATATCGTGCCGGACCCAATATCTTAGCAAAAGAAAACTCTAACTCCCCTATAAAGCCCTCAACATATAGTTGTGGTAGAACTAAAGCAACCCCAACTTTAATTTTCAAATGGGGAATTATCACTTGTCTTTGTGTTTGGGATTTGCAAAATGGCGATTGATCATAAGCCCAAAGGAACAACCCAGTCTAGCTTCAGTCAGCAAAACGGTTTCTACTTTGCCTCGCAATAATCCTACACATGATGGCGAGGATCCATGTCCAGCCCTTGAGAGTTGGAAAAGGCGTCCTAGTTGCGGAACAGGGAAATAATGTTTAATGGCACTAAGTCACAAATAAACAGTAGTAAGGGTTGATTGAAGTATTAACCAACTCCTTTGAGTAGCTAAGAGAAGCCTCTTTCACAATACAGTTAATCTGTTACAACCTAAGGAAACAAACTGTTGGCTTGGCCATCCTTCACATCTGTGTAAACCCCGAAGGATTATGAGCACGTATTTATTAACTGGAACTGACAAACATAAATGCTCGAGCCACCCTTCCCCCACCCCAAACCCCCTTGTAATGAACGATAGCTTCAGTTGACAAGAAAGTTAAAAGGGAGTTGCAGAAGGTAGGTACCTCTAATGGGGTCAGAGGACATTTTCCATCTATGCGGTTAAGGCCAGGATTAACCTCGCGATCTTTTCTTTTAAACTTCTCTTTCCACTCTGCCTCTCGAAATGAAGCCAATTCGTACTTTTCAGCCGCTCCACCATCGTAAATGCAGCACGAAAATGAAACCATATCCTACAAGTTGAAAAGAAATTCGCTACTTGAGTTAATGTTTAGTGCTAAGACTTAGAAACTGGAGACATCAAACTCTGAGCAAGCAATAGTACATATTTGTACCTCCTCAAAGCGGAGGTGGACAGAAACATATTTCCCACCATTTCTTGTGCTCTTCTCAACCATTCGATTTACCAACTTCTCCGCTAGCGTTGACACGGGCGAAGCATATCTCAATGCTTTGTAATTTGTTATGCATCTAAGCAACTGAATATGTGCCGGGACACTCATAGCCAATCGATTGGCAAATGGTGCAAAACGCAAAACCCTGATTATAAACAAAAACCCACTCAGCAACATCCCCCAGGCATGTGCAAAATACCCATATCAGATAATAAAATGGCAGTTCCTATGCTTTTAGCCTGTGTAACATATTCATTACTGGGCAAAACAAGCAGTGGCAAGAAAAGAATCTAAAACATACCCGTGCTCTCTTAGGACAGGATAGATTTGTCCCATGTAATAATTAGCCGGAGCCCAAGGAGGAACTCGAATTGTATGGATACTAGTCATGTTATAGTCATATTTCCTCATCACTTCATCGGGTAATGCTTTCACCACTTTCACATGTTTCTCAAGTACGGATATGAAGTGATCCGGATCATATATGTCCCCAAACTCGCTGCAAAATAGAGGAACTGTAACATGTAAGCTATACATTAAGGAATAGGCTCAATCCGAAGGAAGAAATAAATTCAACAGTGATGCGGACAAGTTTTATAGCTGCACAGTTTTGCTTGCAACTTGATAATGTATCCTTTCAGCTTACCAAAATTCTGCTTTAAGAAAAATATTGTATATTTGAATGACCAAAATATTGGTAATGGGTTACCTACACATGGCTAAGACAATTGCGTAAGTAAAGCAAGAAAAATGGAAAAGCTTAATATATGCTTATGTAAGTTATGTTTACAAGCAACATTAGTCATTGACTCGGTTAATCTTTTTTTGGTCCAGTTGACTCAGTTAATCTACATGGCTTTGATTGAATTATAACAAAAAAACTCTACTCTATTTCCTTACCTCGGATCCTTCCAGACATGATTGAAATCGAATTGTGGGATGACTAATACTGCATTTAGAAGTCCAGCGACAGCAACTGCGTTGCAGATCTATGCCAAAAAATAGCAAGCATCCAGAACAACTTAGAAGCCAATGCATACAAATATTGCCTACCCAATGGAACCCGAGCTTCTTTACATTTCTGAGATGGAACGAGAGGTTTCAATATCCTTGTGCGGTACCCAAACGAAAATAAAGAATATCCCTATACTTGAAGCTTACATCGAATAGCAAAGATTAACAACATACCGCAGAGCGCTGCTGATTAAGGCCGCCATTTGCATTAACAATCAAGTAGCCGGACGAGCCGGATGACTCTGCAATTGAGCTAAAACAAATCAATTCCCCTTCTAATTGAGCATGGCCAGGGATAGCAAACCAATCCCATAGCAGAGAGCTAAGCATAGACAGTTATGGCGAAACATTTCAGACTTGGATGGGGCAAAAATCTACCTCCAGCCCAAGCATAACGACGCTTCGTCGCCTGGATACTAGAATTTGGGCAAGGTCTCTGCACCTTGAACCTCCTTTTGTACTCCCATACGGAAGGTAACTGCAACAAGCAACCTGCAGCATTAGTCCTCAAAGCAAATCGCCAACAATGTCTTGGTTACAGATACACGAACTAATACAGCGTCTTAAAATCGCCACCCACTTCTTTGGATGCTTCGATATCATTTTCCCAGCACTCAATCATCACGTCTACATCTTTTAGTGAGCTTTATTCTTTTTTCCGGTTCTTTACCATTCTCCACGGGACCACACTACCGTTGAATCGGGCCGGGATTTCCTTTTCTCTCGCCATTTCTCGACAGCCAAACAGCAAAAAAACGAGACCTAAGAAAGCCGGAAAAAGGAAACGATATTCGGAATACCTGAATTGCGGTTGAATTGTCGACAATGATATCCGGCCAGAGGCGTTCGAACAGCTCATGACTCCGGTACACGGCGCCGGGGACGCTAGCCCGGCCGAGAGCGAGAATAGCGGTGGAGAAGGGCCCCACACACATGATCAGGCCTGAAATGTAGAGGAGCGGGAGGAAGAGCAAGTAGCGGAAATTGCAGCGGAGAGCGGCGGCGGGGAAGCTGTCTTTCCTGAACTTGGAGGAGCGGCTCCGGCGGCGGCCGAAGTGACGGGAAGGAGGAGGAGGCGGTGGAGGGGAGGGAGGGGGACTTGGGGAGGAGTTGGTGTCTCCGTCGGTGACGGCGCCGCCGCCGCATCCGGCATTGTGGGATTTGGGCTTGGCGGCGGTGTTGATCGCCATGCAAGAGAGGGAAGAGGAGGGAGGAAGGGAAGTATCTTGGAGAGATTTTTGGCTGGTGGTGGCGTGCTGCTGAGGAGCGAGCAACTTTTCAAAAAAACAAAAAAGGTTCGCCGTGCAGTGTGATCTTATGTGTGGTCACCACTATTGGTCTACAAACGAGGACCGACTGAACTGAATGAGGAGGAAGGCAGAGAGAGAGAGAGGGTGGTTGGAATTGGATGGGCTCGGCTTTGGCTCAGTGCTTGTCCCTTATTATTGTGGGTCAGTAGGTATGAATGGTCGCAGCGCAAACGCACAACATTTTATATGTTACGGAGTAGAGACAACACAAAAATCAATAAATTATACCTTTTGAGACAGTTGACGGTGGGTAGTGTACAGATAGCGTGGCACTAATACGGCTGCAGGCCCCAAATACTTTTGACTTTTTGTTACTAGCTTATAATCCGGTTTGTTTGGCTGGAATATTTATATTTGATTATTTATATTTGGTAAAATATACTTGTATAGCCATAACTTTGCACTTTGTGACAATAATAGCCAATTTTAGAAAAATACACAGATATAACCACATATTATAAACTAGTTTGATAAATTTAGCCAATTCCGTTAAAAACTTTGACGGCGTAAGTAACTCCGTCCGTAACATTGACTTTATGTTGATGTGGATGTAAAGTGGATGCCACATCATCTCAAACTAGACACAGTCATGCCACATAGACGCCACATAATCTTTAAAATTAAAAAAAAAGTACAAATTTTTTTAATCATCTTCCTGGATCCAAATCAGTGCAGCGTCGACCTCTCGACCTTGAGCTTTCCTGCCTCATCTTCTCCGATCAACTGCAAATCCAGATTTGAGGTGCTTAAAGTCCCGAATAAGCTTGCCTCTCGGTCCATCGACCTCAATCACCTTCCGTGGACCTTGATCTTGATGCCATCGGGGAAGTAGATCGTTTCAGACGAGATGATTTCCTTCATCTTAGAGTTGCGGCGGAGCTAAGAACCCTAGACTAGAGAGCGTTGTCACTCTTGAAAATTAAACTAATCCCCTCGTCAGACCAAGTACAACTCTATTGTGACCAGCTTCGATCTGGTAGAGGGGAACTGCATTTTTGGTGATGATAAGCGTTTTCCCTATGGAATCAGACGCTGCTCGCCCGCCGTCCTCCTGCAGTTCTGATATTTTACTCGACGCCGCCTTCTACTGCGTCTCCGTTTCAACACCGAAAAAAATCCTCTGCCAAAAACCCCTAATTTCTCAGAGAGATTCCTCTCTTGGGGATTCCGCTTCCGTTCTTCCTTCTCCTAAACTTCAATCTCTCTATTCTTCAATTTTTCGGAGAGGGGATAACATAGCAATGATCCGGGGGGATCGAATTTCATCTTCTGGTACCAAAATCGTACGAAAGACACCAACCCAAAATCGAAATGAGAGCCTTGAGGGTGGAATCGATTGAAACAAAACCCTAAATCAGAACGTTTTCTTCTGGGTTTCTGCGACACATATCTGAAGAAGGGCTGGTCGGCCGGCGCATGATGGATCTGTAAGCGAGAAGCTGCGAATTTGAAGGCATGCCGGAACAGAGGCGTGAGGTGCAGAGCTTCGAGAACAAAAAAAAAATGCCCGGAGTTCGAGATGGAGAAGTGCGGCTTGGATTTCATCGTTGCGAAGAGAGCATGTTGTTGGGGAAGGTAATGGAGAAGTTGACCGGCGACCTCAAATTCGACAACCACCGCCAGATTTCTGATCGGAGAATTGGGTCGACCATCTAACACTCGTGGTGAAGAAGAGAAAGGGGAAGTCTAAGCGGCAGAAGGAGGAAAATAGGTTTTAGGATTTTTCACTTAATTAAAAGAATGAAAAAGGATAATTTCCACATGATATAGTTTTTTTGAGGGAAAATAGGTTTTAGGATTTTCACTTAATTAAAAGAAAGAAAAAGGATAATTTCCACCTGATATAGTTTTTTTGACAAAAAATTGCCAAGTCATCAAGAACCGTTAGTCTAGTCAGCTTCCATCATGTTGCCGTTAAATTTATTGACGAAATGGCTATATTTGTGTATTTTTTTTAAAATCTGGCTATTATTGTCATATAGTGCAAAGTTATGGCTATGCAAATGTATTTTGCCTTTATATTTTTAGGTTAATTCGTTTAATCATATTGACAATCCTTCTATCAAGATTATACATAAATAAAGAATATATAGGTCAAACATTTGGAGAAATATCATCATTATTTCAGAATATAAAATATAAAAATGTATCACTGATCCCATTTTCATAATGACAATTAAGTCCTCGATAAAATGCTATTGGTTAGTTGATTGTCAAGAAAGATAGAGTATAAAAGAACACTGAAATTCCCACACGAATCATAGATGGTTTGAAACTAAATCTTAAACCTCGCAATTCTACATAAAGGTTTAATGCTCTCCTTTCAGGAACAATATGTCACTAATAAAAAAGAAATTGAGAGTTGTTAATTCAAGTCAATTATATACTAACTACTCAACTAAGAGGGGACCATCAAAACTTGAGAACAAATGCCAAACTTAGAGTTACCTCCAATATACTAATAGACTCTATAAAAGTATAAGGAACAGAATTAGAACTCTTTATCTATAATTTCCAATAAGTAGAATAAAGAGTCGACCAACCTACTTCAGTAAACCAACAAATGATTCCTCATTTTAAGATAGAAATAGGTTGTGATAGCTTCAGGAGGGCAGTGAGGCACACGAAGGGGAAGAGCTCTCGAGGAAGGATAAGAGTTTTTGGTCTGAAATGGAAACAAGTCAATTTTGTTTTTTTAAGTGGGATCTGGTATGGTTAGGTGGGTTAGGGTTTATTTCTGGGTCGGGTTGAGTTAATGGATTGGGTTGGGTTTAATATGTGGCGGGTCGGGTTTGACCATTTCCGACCCAAAACGGCGCTGACTAGGCGCTCACGTTAGCCACGTCAGCACATAACGGACTCTTTTAACGGAGTTGGACGGCAACTAACGGCGAGTGACTAAATGTGTCCAGTTTTAGTAATTGTAGTGACCAAATTTGATATTAAATTTTTCTAGTGACTAAATATGTCCCGATTTTGTAATCTCAGTGACCAAATGTGTCTTTAACCCATTAAAAATCATATATATATGCTTCTTCTTTTCATTGTAAACAAATCAGGCAGGTATTAATCCGTGCGGGCAGAGAATGGATTAGAATTTGATGACCCGTCTCGGATCACGGGGCAAAGCGGATCGTTGCTTTAGGAATCGGAGCAGAGCACGGATTCATTGTGATCCGCCCCAAATCTGTCCCGAACCATTCCTATATCCAGGTGAAAATGATGAATGTATCGCGACACAAATGTAAAAAGAAATTGTGGTTGATGTCATTGGGGGTTCAATTAAGGATGAAGTAGATGACAATTCAACACTTTTGGAACCAGTCACGCGAAAGGAAGCAATTAAAGCCACATCGACTCTTCAAAAATACTTGACGTAATTAGAAAAGACAACACCGGAGATTTGAGTGCAATGAGGAAAGTTCAAGATGAAATTCTACTAGGGTATTAACCCTAGAGTAAATTACATCATTGTCCTTAATTTCATGTATATTACAGTGCATTGATTTAAGTATCACCAAAACCAAACGCTTAGTGTTCAAACCAAACGACTCCTTAATTAATGTTCGAGTTTTAGCGATTCTCCGTCCAATTTACCCTTTAATGTAGCTAGCAATACTATATCTTTTAGCGTTTTTTGTCCGACTCCGGCCACATACATTATGAACTTTCCCGGGCCGGGAATCGGGCTATGGCCCAATGTAGCAAGACATCAGCTTCAAGCGTCCATTTCTCGGCAACGGTCATCTCTAAAGCTTATTGTGGTCTCTTATAACTTATAAGCATACTAGCTTTATTGTATTCCCTTCCTCGTGTCATCATCGAAGGGCATTTCTTCAGATTCACTGGGAGGTCCGATGCTACGTGATTGCTTCCAGCTCCTGCCTTCAGTTTCTCTTTCCTTAGAGTTTAGGGCAGTTCCTAGAACTGCTAATGGGGCTGCCCATAGAATGGCGCTGAAAGCCCTGTTACTTTCTCCTCTTGAGTTCGGTTCCTTCGGCTTTGTAGGGTGGCTTCTCTAATGTATTGGTTTGGGAGGGTTTTGGGGTAGATTGCATAGTTTTTTCTCTCTTAACATTTCTTGGGGAAAAAAATACTAGCTTTATACCCGCCCGTTGGGCGGCAAATTTTGATTGGTTATTATATTTTTCGTCCTAGTATTATAATTTTATTTATGATTCGTTATGTTAAACTATTATACATTGAATTGTTAATCTCACTTACCAAAATTCATATATTGTTTCACATTTTTATATATTTCATTTATTTATGAAAATTTAATTTTATTAGATGAGCTCTCTCTAGTACTTTCTTTATTGATTTATAATTATGTATTGAATCCACCATTTAAGATATAAACTAAGAGATTATTAATATTTTAGCACACAAAGTGACAAAGAAGTTAAAATTTTGAAGGACACAAAAGAAGAAGTTAAAATTTGCAAAAATATTTCAATTAATAAAAAAAGTGAAGAGCTTTCTTTTTCTCACCCTTCTCGTACGTTGGTATATGATAATAGAAAATATCGCGATCTAGATCCCACAAATATCGTGCAATATCTAGATACCACATTGGCATCCACATCATCAATCTTTCGGTTCTTCGTTTAACCTCCTGCTACATACTATTTACTTGATCAGATCATCGTCATATAGCTAGCTAGTAACATGTTACTCATGAACATAATAAACATAATGAACAACTCTCACAACTCTACTTTCCATTTTAACATCCAAGGAATCGAGTTGCAATAGGCCTCCAAGGAAAATGATACAGTATTCAACCAAAGGAGAGATGCTCCAAGTCCAAGCAACAAACCCTTTGAATTATATGTTACATGTTTACATCAAAGTATACAGGATAACAGAGAACCATAAAACAACTACCAAAATAACGAAGAAGAAATACAACCATTGAATCGAAAAGGGAAATTTACTATCCAGCCGCCGTAATCTGGAAGAAATTAAGAAAAGAATGGGAAGAAGACTGTAACTCGGCCAGTCAACCGCTAGTAGTCAGATATCTCTGAGGAAGAAAGATCAATTGCCCG